CACGGATAAAAATACTACAACAACAACAACAAGAAGAAGAAGAAGAACAAGAAGTGTCACAACAAAAATTACAACAGCCACTGACATTATCATATACAAATAACAACAATAATAGCACAACAACTGATGTTCACATTCATTCAACCGGCGTCAACACATTAACCTTTTATAGTTCACCTTTTTTAGGTCAAGAATCTCATAGCACTGATAATATTAGTGGATCTCATCATGATCCACATAGTCATTCATATAAACATCTACAACGATTTCCTCTTATTTTCGGGACACAAACTACTACTAATACTATTGCTACATCAGCAATACTTTCGCCACCTCTTCTACCTTCTCCACCACTTCCACCTACCACATCAACAACATTACGTCAATACGAATCAACTAATAGTCAACAACAACAATCACAGTTACAATCACCATTACAGCCTTTTACAACATCATCATCACCTCCTCGTTCTCTTTCACGTAATCGTCAACAATATAACAGCAATTTTAATCAAACAACCATTTCACCTATTGCTACTCCCACATTAAACCCTACTCCAATATCTGCTACAACTACAGCCACAGATATTAGTAACGATAGCGATGTCAGTCATATAAATAAACAAATATATGATGGAAAACGTGCAATGAGGCTTGAACGTAATCGCGTTGCGGCAAAAGAATGCCGTGAAAGAAAAAAGTCTTATATACTAAATTTGGAAAGTAAAGCTACGAGATTGGAACAAGAAAATGCTAATTTACATAGAATGGTTCAAGAAATGAAAAATAAATTGGATTGGGTTGAAATAAAAACGGCTGAAAATGTTCAATTGCAATTATTAGTACAAGATTTAAAATGTCGTATTAATGAAATGCAAAAATGTAGCATTAATGGTGGTGTTAATAATATAGGTAGCAGTAATGGTTTTGAAGGGAATGTGGTGAAATGGTAGTAGCAGAAACGTTAATTAAATAAACATAATATATTTGGTAAGCCAGTTTTTTTTAATCTTTCGTTACACTATAACATTGACTAATGATAACAATAATCATTATTATATACAGCTTGTATTATTATAATTATTATAACCATTTTGTAAATCTAATAGCAAAAGAAAAATAATATATTAACATTATAGTCACGTGGATAAAGTTGATTTTTTACACATCCAATAAAAATAACCTTTCCAAAAAAGGATATTCAGCAAAAATGGTGAATGGTAATATGGTGGACAAAAAGTTTAATCAATATTTTCTGAATCAAGTATTTTTTAATTAGGCTTTCTTTCTTTAAATTATTTTATGCGATGTTATAGAAATTTGTTTACATAAGCCTTCTAACCTTATTTATCGTGTCTTTGATTTATCAGCAAAACGTGGTTAGGAACATAATAAATTTTGAGTAACGGCCCCTGCAAAGTTATGTTACACGTGGTTTTGATCCAATTAGAGATGTTAATTGGCCCTAAACAGTCCAGGACGGTCCTGGGACTGGCAGTCCTATCTTGGGACCGGACCGGACTTAAGTCCTAAATATTACAAAATTTATAAGTTGGTTAATTATTATTATTAATGATTAAATATTTGAATAATAATATTATTATTATTATTTAGCAAGCAAATATATAATAATAAAAATTTATTATTTGCATGTCAGCAGATTTGGTTTTTTGGTCCTTTTTTTCAAACCTTGTATCTTACTGTGTCTTGACGTTAAACACAAGTGTAAACTGTAAACTGGTCAGTAGAATGATAATTAAACTAAAAAAATTTATTTGCTCCATTAAAAAAATATTTGACTATTCAACAGCCTGTCAAACCAATGGGTTTTTCCTAATATACAGTTCACACTCTCTATAACGGCCTTTTTTTATAGAGTGAACTGTAAATGTTATGATCATACCGTACTGAATTTGGGGCTCAAACAAAATCAGTGCATATGGTTACACGGTGACCTTTTGGGACTTTAAGTAGGACTGGGCCTGGTCCCAAAAGGACCGATTAACATCCCTATAATATATATATATATTACGTACGCAAAAAACTTCAACCACATATTCCTAGAAAACCCCCATATGTTGTTGCTTTATTAAGATTAAGGATTTGATTAACTTACAAAGAAAAAGTAAATAAAGAAAAGAAAAAAAAATTTACATTTATATATATGATGTTTATATATATTGTATAGTAAAAATTTTTTTTGTTGTAAATAATAATTATTGTTTTAGAATCTTAGTCATTAATTCATTTATTAAAGATAATGAAAAAATTTAGAACAAAGGATAGGATAACAAACATAAGAAGAACAAGTCAATTAATTAAATCCAAGGTAAAGTGAAAGAATATACAAACATATCTTTTTTTGGTAGTTTTTACTATGATTGTTGACTAATAAATTTTGTATGATTGTTAATATGTTGTATGCAATAAGCTGATATAAAGCCATATATATATTATATATAGTCAAAATAAATATATAGAATAAATAGTTCATATTATAGTTTCATTATGATCATTATTATCTTCTTCGTTATTGTGATTATTAACAATTTCTAATACAACAGCTTTAAAGTGAGAAGGTTGATGGTGTAAAACTTGATCTTGTACTACTTCGTTTTTATTGGTAGTGGTGGTAACAACTGTGGTAGTGTTATCATCTAATCGGATTTCCTTGGTGACACGATTTCTAAAGAAAAAGACTTCGGGGCTTGTACAAGCACCTAAAGCCTTTCTCATTTGGTTACTTAAATAAGTCAGCCCAATTTGATAAGAAGCATTCATCCAACCAAATCCTTCTCTAGGTATATATTTGAAGTCTACACCAACATTACCATATTCAACTTGTAATAAATGATTTAATGTTACAACATCATACTTTTCAGGAACAACCCCATTAAAATCAACAAATGATTTTGTTATTGTGTACAACCAGCGATACGCCAATCTACGTGCCTCAACCATATGATTATAATTCTCTAAGCCTTTCCAAGCCATTATTTGATGTGGTGCCCAACCAAAAGGGTAATCCCATTGTCTATTTGGTCTATCCAATGATATTTTACCACGAGATTCTTCTGTACCACTTACAAGTCCCCCGAGAACCTCAAATCTTGGTAGAGAGACTTTACTATTATTTATTGTTATTAAAGAAATATTAATTGTCGTCATTATTGCCATTAAATTAATGATGTAGAATAACACTTACACTAATTTCTCAGCTTGTTCTTCACTTGCACAACCTGCCCAAAGTGCCCAAAAAGCAGTAACACTATCATATACAGTTTGTTCTTTTTTAACAATATCATAATCATAATAAAGATTTTTTTCCTCGTTCCAAAGATACTTGTCAATACGTTCTTTACGTAATTTGGCTCTTAATACCCAAGGTTCACTTGTTTCTATTCTAAACTCATTACCATCGTCACAATCGTTTTCAATTATTAATTTATCGTCAAAAATTTCTTTTATTATCTTGTAAATATCCATCTCATATTTGTAAAGTAAACAATTCAAATCTATGGTGACCAAGTTGGCACATTTTTTTTCAAATCTATAAGTAGTATCATGGCCAGATTCTCTTACAGCTCTATCATGTAGAAAATATTCATCTAATAATGGCTCATTTATTTCAAGATTTTGATATTTCAAGGAAAATTCTTTGATAGATAAACCCAATTTGTCAGCAAATGGTAATATAACATGATCAAAATGACTTGCTTCGGTCTCAGGAGGGATACCAATACCAGTTGGATGATATCTTGATAAACCAGTGACAGGATCGTAACGTGGTTCACACATCCAAACAGTGTAATATTCTTTTATTGCAGCTTTTATTGCAGAAGCTAGCCATTCTTTTTTATCAAAGTAACTATTGTTAACAGTGGCAGTAGTTGTGGTGGTGGTGGTATTATTATTAATATTATCATCATCATCTAAATTTTGATACACCTTTAAAGCCATATCAGTCAAGAAAGGAGGTTGAGATCTGGTCAAGTAATAACTTCTATTGGCATTTAATATTTTACCATAATGTTGAATTTCATAAACAAAATTATCAACCATTCCCTTTGCTAAATCAATTCTACCATCGATTATTAAACCCAATGATTCAAAGTAAGAATCCCAACCATACATTTCATTGAATCTACCACCAGGTACCACAAAAGGAACACCTTTAAAAGTAACATTCCCATCCTTATCAATTGATTTACGCATAGCCAAAGATAATATACCAGGCTTATGATTGATGCTTTTCACGTAATCTGGAGTTATTTCCTTTGGTAACATTTCCACCTCTAATTTCAAATGAGGACGATTATCTGAAATAGTTTTGTAATAATCGAATATTTCATATTCACCATATGGAATATAAATACGAGGAGAATGGTCAGCAGTTCTGTTTTTCGTATCAGAACAAATGACTTTTAGACTGTCAGCATCTATTTTCCTGGTCAATCCATCCCAAAAATGATGTTTAATCATACGAGATAAACGATCAACAGGATTTTCATTAAGTCTAGCCTCATCTAATACTATATGTTTTCGACCATGATCTTGAGCCAAGACCAATTCTTGTAACAAATTACTTAGCATATATGTACCACGGATTTCAAATTTCTTGTGACCACCAGAATCTGCAGTACCCAAAGTCAAAGTTTTTGGTCCCATATCTTTAATAGTTATTTGGCAATCACCGTCGGTATCTTCTTGTTCTAAAATTAATTTTTTAGTTTCTTCAACATCGATTAAGAATCTGCGCGGTTTGGCAGTTTTTTCATCTTTTGATTATTTATTGTAGGGGAGAGGACAAAGATTCAAATAAATATAAAAATGTTATAAATATGTATATAAATATAAGTATATTATAAATATGTATTACCATGAGAGCCTCTCCTTTTTGGTGGGTATTTATCAGACTTAGAAATACTTTGTTTTGGTTGATTTGACATCTAAGATAAATTTATAATAAATTGGTTAATTCGAAATAAATAAAATAAATAAATAAAATTAATTTATCTATTTTAAATGAATAAATATACACTTACTGCAAAGCTTCTAAGACGACTAATATTTGAAGGATGATTGCTGTTAAGACCAGTGGTGTAATAAGCATCAGAAAAAATGTTGGTGTCTGTTTCTGTTATTTTTATCATTTTTATTTTTATTGTATTTTTTTGTAGATGGGATGGTTGTTGTCTGTTTTCTAATATTTAATATTTTCAAAATTTTCCAAAAAATTATATTTTTTTTTATAAAAAAAAAAAAAAGGGACTAATATATATATATATAAATATATATTTATAATAAAGATTGATGATTATATTTATATGTGATGACGATGATGAATTATTTATTAAATAATAATATAAATAATAATAAATTAAATACATAATAAATAAAATTAATAATGAATGAATATTATAAATAAAAAAATTTTAATATTGAAAAGCCCAAAATTAAATCGCTTGACAAGATTTTTGATTGATAAATTAGTTGTACACGTGGTCTTAGTAATCATTTATTAATTGCATTTCACTAATTATAGAATGAAAAAGAAAAATAATATCTAAATGAATAAACCTGTACGTAGCCCGACTAAATGACCCATGTTGGATAAAGATGATGTAATGATTTCCTTTTATCCTGAATAAAACCCCGAAATAATTTATACAAAAAAAACAACGGTTTAAAAACGCCCTTATTTTTGCATTCGGGGCATGCTACATTTGTATTACAAAAAATTACAGGGATCAAAATTTAGTAACGTGATTATTATTATTATGATTTAACAATTTTATAATCTCAAGTGAATTATTCGACCGATACCCAAAGATCGATAAGATTGATAAGGGGGGATATCCCTCTTATATGATTTCCCAGGCTGAGGCTTTATCCCTATGAACTGAGGGATAAAGGTGTAACCTTTTGGAAATTGTCCTCATGGGCTGATAAAATTATCTGAATTACTAAAATAGGCAACAAAAAATTTTTTTAATTCACAGATTTAATTAAATAAACAGATTATTTGATGCTACATTTGTATTACAAAAAATTACAGGGATCAAAATTTAGTAACGTGATTATTATTATTATGATTTAACAATTTTATAATCTCAAGTGAATTATTCGACCGATACCCAAAGATCGATAAGATTGATAAGGGGGGATATCCCTCTTATATGATTTCCCAGGCTGAGGCTTTATCCCTATGAACTGAGGGATAAAGGTGTAACCTTTCAGAAATTGTCTGCATGGGCTGCCTTAACAATACTTTTTTTATTTTTTCTATATGCTCTTTACATTGTCTACCAAATTGTCCCGGGGTAAATTTCATAATATAAAAAAGTCCACCACTATATACAGTAGGACAAAAATACTATAGAAATAGTCAAATAAACTGATCTCTAAACATAAATATATATATATACATACATATTTATAAAATGAACCAAATTCAAGTCTAAGTATTTTAAACATAACTGACAACTTCTAGCTTCTTAATCTAATGGTTTTATTTTTTATTTATAATATCAAACAATAAAGACACTAGTGAATTAATAGAGATTAATATCTAAATGCTGTGTTTCATCTCTCTGCTATTAATTTTAAAAACAGTTTAAGGCCTCATACAGTTTAGAAATTTGAACTCATTTTCTAAACTAGTTTAGAATAAATTTAATTTTGAATAACTCTAAAACCCATGAGTTTTGGAAGGCAATCCTTGTCATTTCATCAAATTTACTCAATGGTTGTTAAGATATTTTTGGTTGAAAATTTTATCCAATAATAATTGTGGACTGACAAAGGGATTGTGGCTCCCATCTTTAATAAAAACAATACTTCAAAGAATGAAGAAAAGTTTGATGGTAAATCTATTGGGTTGTGAATAGCAGGTATAACTTTTTTGGGTTTTATAATTTCTGATTTATGTTGTTAAAAGAATTAAAAGGAAAAAAAAATATATATCAATATTTAATAATAAAATTATTTTTCTTCCAAAGGTTTCTGCTTTTTGTTGGATAACAGTGTACTTTCATTCTGCTTTCTTTTCTTAATGTTTATGATTTTTCTTTCTTGGTAAATTTCATAAGTAATCCTTTTTCTTTCTTCAAAATATTTCTGATGGTACTATAATTCTTAGGTTCCATAGTAGACCTAATGTAAATTAGTTTCATATTAACTATTTTTATCTAAAGATGATCCTAAGCAAAAAGACAAATATCACTTTACATTGATAATACAATTGTGATGTTAAACAAACACTATTGATCCCTGAAATCTTTGGTAATACCAATGTTCACTTTGTCTGGTTTTGTTGCAGTATGCCCCACATGATTTTTATTGCTTCTTTAGTTAGAATGCAGGTGCCATTTTTTTCGCATCACACTGTATATTTGAATACATTGTCTTTGAAAACCTTTATGTTCTGTAGAGTCACTTATTGGCAACTGTTTTATTGTAGCAGCCATTTGAATGAGGATTAAAAAAATATCTGCCAAAGTGGAGTTTGCATTTGATAGCCTTTTTTGCAGGTGATAATACATTTGTAAGGCATTCAACATTGGATCTTTTTCAATCATATTTCTAAAAATATTTTCAAGTTGTAATACAGAATTACAGCAATCCCACGTACTGCTCCATCTTGTTACCACTTATGACTTAAGACCTCCACCCATAATGAATGCTTCAACTATTTCATTATAAAGTTGTGCACTGCTTTATAAGAACCTTGAAAATAACTTGCAAACTTTTGACATTGAGATAAAACATTCTTGCCAAAACTAATTTTTAAATTATATTATCTTGATAAGAAAATTGACTATCCAAAATCATTTGCATCCAGACATGCTATGGCTCTTTTACATAACAATCTTGGTGAACAACAAACATGGATTCAATACGTAATTCATAAGATGAAATTGGTCCTTTTTCTATACAAGATCTACATAATATAGAAAAAATTTGTGAGCAACGTGATTTGAAGAGAGAAGAAAATACAAAAAATATAAATGTAAGGAATGCAAAAAAACATGATCAATTAAATCAACTAAAACATGATATGTCAGGATTCAATTTTGATCAAGATTTGATTCCATATGGCCTTAGGCTGCAAGAAAAATTAAATAATAAGGAATTTCTTCCATCATTTCATGAATATATTTACAATTTTAAATCTTTGATCAAATGCCAGAATTGTTATTCTTTTCCCAAATATAATGCTAATGGATTGTGCAAAATTTGTTACTTCTTTTTTTTACAACAAAAAAATGATAAAATTTTCAATAAAAATTTCATAATTACCAAATCTCCTTCCAAATCATCAACATCAACATCACCTTCTCTTTTGGCTTTACAGATTATTTTTGGATATCCAACTTTCATGAGGGTCAACAGGAGGCTATAGAAAGTTTTGTAAATAATAAAGATACCTTAGTATTATTTCCAACTGGAAAAGGAAAAAGTTTGTGCTATTCAATTGGATCTTTGCTCATAAATGGTATTACCATTGTACTGTGAGATAGTAAATCTTGGACCCGGCTAATATTGACTAATTAGAACGAACTTACTACGGAAGTCATGTGATGCGCTAAATATATTATTGTAACGGCTACGCCGCAGATTGCGCA